CTTATGGCTTGCTGGGCTAGTAAAGGAACTGGGCATTGAGCAAGGTGGAGTTCAGTTGCATTGTGACAGTCAGAGTGCTATTTATCTGGCTAAGAACCAGGTGTACCATGCGAGAACCAAGCACATTGATTTTCAGGTATCACAAGATCAGAGAGTTGATTGCTTCTGGGGAGATACCGTTGCAGAAGGTTCATACTCATGAGATTGCAGCTGATATGTTGACCAAGCCAGTTACTATCAACAAGTTCTTGCATTGCTTGGACTTGTTGAATGTTTGCAGTTGCTAGAGAAGCATGGTGGCCCAACCCACGGTGGTGCAGATGTAACTCCCAGGTATTTTTTCTCCTAAGGGGCTGGATATTCGCCAAGATGGAGATTTGTTATGGTATGGCTCATATACCATATCGGGACAGACGCTGGATTGAAGCGGAGCAGAGCGGAGCGGAAGAATCTGTCCAAATTGGGAAGTTACGTGGGTTGGGGTGCGGGGGCAAAGCCCCGCGGTTTGGTACAGGGGTAATGTTGTAATTACATATTGTGCCTAGGTTTACTCCTGGGGTTATAAATAGGCCTGTTAGTAACCCCAGGAGGTATCTCTGAATTCTGTAAACTCTTTTCTGATTATTGAAAGGAATCGCCGCTCTGCTCCCGAGGACGTAGGCATCTTTGCCGAACCTCGTTAAATCTCTGTGTTCTTTTGGATTTGTGTCGATTACTGTTTTTCTTCGTCCTAATTTTCTCAACAGAAAACAAAAAACATAATAACCACCACAGTTTTTTAAACAACAGTTTCTTCTGCAACAACTTCACAACTGCTTCATATCATTATCAGTTGCATTATTTACAAGGACGATTCATGCACACCCCTCAATTCTTATGCATTTACTAAAACTTATATTTCAATTTTTAAATCTATGCCATCATAACAATGCATGAAAAGAAATAGGTGGTATGCATGTAAATACATAAGAATTAGGTGGTATAAATGTAAAAAAGTTAAAGTAGATGTTAGATATGTAAATACATAAGAATTAGGTTGTATGCATGTAAATGCCTCTAACTGTTTACATCATTTACATATCCCTATCAGTTTATAAATAAACAATTCTATATTCTCATAATTATTGTACTTGTATAGTTATTCATCTCAATCAGGCATTTCATTATGAAATATTGGGACCGAATTAATTAGAATATTAGGATCTTTGAAATAAGAAATAGACGACTCAACTAAAACCATCTGAAGCGGAATGCATAGCGTCAAAAGAACTGCATTCGCTCATAGTTATTTATGATAAATATTAAAATATATGTTAAGATGATAATAGATTATCATTCTAAAAGGATAATGCTCCATATAAATTCTCTTTGGTAGCTATTTTAAGTTCACGTAAATACCACTTTAATGAAAATTGATAAAGAAGTCCTTAAGAAAGTCGTTTTCTTTCCCACCTAAATGCCAAGAATTATTTTGATGAAGTGGTCTAACAGTCTTAACTTGTCAATAAATGTAACTAATAAGGGTCTGTTTGAGGCAGCTGCAGCTTATTGAATAATTTACTGATGAGCTGATTAAAAATAATCTGTTGATAAGTTAGGTGCGGTGGCTATTATAAATTTTTATTTTTTTTAAAAGTCAGACTGCTGCCACAAAGTTAGTCAAAAAGCTTCCACCGCATCTAGATATGTGCGGTGTGAAAATTGCGGTGTGAAAACGCTATTTTCTGCATTTTGAAAACGCATAAGCTGCCAAAACGTAGTTTACCCAAACATATCAGGTGCATTTTCAGACACCACCGCACCAAATAAGCTGCCCCAAACGGACCCTAAATATATATATTTTTAGGTGCCATATATCATATGAACAATTTTCGACCACAAAAATGCTCTTAATTATTAGGGTCAATTTGGGACTGCTTCGTGTTTCAAACTATCAACTATGCTTGAGAAACTTATTTCTTACTCACTTTTTAAAGATTTATGTAATGAAAAATTATTTTTTCCAACCTGGCTTATTATAGTTCACTCATTGTGATAAAAATAGTAATTTTTTTTTAAAAATATATATTTATAATTCCAACCATAAATTTCAATTTTTTTTAATATATACTTATAATTCCTATTGTAATTTTCTAAGAATTTACTCTCTCCATTATTACTTTACCACATTTTTTTAAGAAAATATATGCAGCACAAAAAAGCTCTTAAGGGCAACTAATGTTATCGAGCAAAATTAGAGTTTACAAGTGTTTGAAAAAGCAATTGTTAAGTTGCTACAGAAGAAGTCATTCTTCAAGAAACTACGTTGAATGTTATAAATATTTTTTAGTTTTCAGAATGTTATACCTAATCTTCCTAGTAACCATTGCACTTGGGCCAAGTCAGGTGTAAGGTGCACATTTTCACCATAATTTTTTGAGAATACATAGTGCGGTCCAGATTGCACTGCAATGCCACCATTCCCGAAGAATCCCTAGCAACCCTTGAAAAAACAAGCATCCTTAGTGTGCATTAGGGCTGCCAAAACGGCGCGTTTGCAAACAATGTGTTCTACTCATTAAGAAACTCGCGTTTGATTCGTTCAATTAACAAATGAAACAAAGCCAAACTATTTTTTTTACGCTCGATATATAAACAAGCGGAACACGAAAAAAAAAAATTCTTTCGTTTTCCGGTTATTTTGACGAAGATTGACCATAATACTACAAAAATTTATAATTAGTTAAAAAAAATACATTAAATTATATTTAAATGATATTTTAATATAAATAATAATATTTAAATATTACCCATACTCTTAACATCATACTGCTTCATGACAATGATTGTCAAAGAGTCTTTGCCGGCCATGACGATAAGCGCCCTTTATAAAATTCAATAAATGATATTACACCAACATTTTACCGACATTGAAATAATAAATAAAATAGACTAAAAAAAGTTTCCACCTTCTTTCCTGTCAACTGTTAACGTCCACACCTTTCCACAATCACGCCTTACCTACTATCGATCTATGCACAGTAGCCACATACACATTCCAAAATTGCATCCCAAATATTGTATGTACAAAGAGTCCGAAAGATTTGAATACAGATTCCTCGCCAACACTATGAACAATTTACACACATTATTTACATTAAACCTCAATGAGTCCCAATCAGGTCAAATATATATCAACAAAAAACATATAAATCAGCTTTCCTGCCCAAAATTCTACAGCCTTCAGCTCACATTTTTTTTGGCTTGTTATGTAAAACTATAATCGGTCTCAACTGCAATTAGAAATGTGAAGTCAAATCATTATATAAGCAAGCAGCAGAGTCGAATCCTCCAGAAAACAGAACAGCTTATTTTAGATTGTAATTTCAAGTCACTGGCTCCAATCCCAAATCCCTGATTTTCATTAATGAGAAAACAGAAGCTAGAATAAAAAAAAAAACTGAATAATTATTTTTCTGGTAAATTCATGATTATGTTTTCAGTTAATAAGCAAAATAAATAGCATGATATGGAACGCAACACTTCAAGAGCTATTAAAGAGAGAACATCAACCAATTGAAACCATATTCCTCAAATTTCTACCTAGAACTCTTAACAGAATCAAGGGGCATTTACATACATACCATCCCATTCCTATGTATTTACATATCTAGCGCCTAAACTTTGCCTTTTGCATTTATGCCATGCAAAACTTTCATCTCTTTTAAGAAGTGAGTACATGTTTTCATGCATAGGATATAAATGCAAAATTTGAAGTTTAGGTGTTGGATATGCAAATACATAGGCATTGCGTGATATGTATGTAAATCTTCCCACAATCAAACGAGTCATGGAATGATTAAAATTCTATGCCCATTCAGAAAATGGATGGAAGTCTTAACCTTGCTGATAACCAACATTGTGGTCAGCAAGCGGGTCTAACCAAGTTCCGTGTGGGAGAAATTCATTCGAGAATAGAGGGGCATTCAGTCCAACGAACTTTTAAAAATTCTCTTACAAAATTTCACCAAGCCTTCATAAACTTTCAATAGAGTTCGTCAAGGCTCCTAAGAAAATTTCACAAATAGTTTGCGCAGTAGATGAATCCACAAAAGGACAGGACCAAGATAGTCAGAAATATGTTGAAGGGACAATGGCTTAGAGCTTTTCTCTCTCTCTCTCTCTCTCTCTCTCTCTCACTGTCGCGAGAGATCCGTTGAAATTTAGATACCAACCCTCCCAATGAATTCGAGATATTTATGAAGTATGCCAAGATAAAGTTAATAAGTATTGGATTGCTCGTTGGCCGTTTTCCATAACATATGGATGTAGCACTCTCAACCCACTATCAAAACATATGCGAGGACCTTGGATCCAGTTCAAAACCAGGAGTCCTATTTTAATGATAATTTTGCCTGGTCTTTACAACCACCAACTGTTTCAAAAATGCAGACATGCCCGCAACTAGGGTTGTAACTGCGCCAAATCAACTTGTGAGCCAGTTCGGGCTCGGCTCAATAAAAGGCACCTAAACTGAGCTTGAAGAGCTAACAAGCTAAGCTCAAACTAGCCTCGACTCAACTCGTTGGCTCATTAAAAGACAACTAATATAAAATTACTTAAAGTATATTAAAATTTCAGTTTTTATCTTTAAATTAATAAAAAGTTTTAAAAAAATATTTTATATTTTGTATCAAGTGAATTCATATTAACTATCTCTTCTAATCTCATTATGTTTGTGATTTTATTATAAAACTTACTTGAAGTAATATTACTCTCTTTTTCCTTAATAAACGAGCCGACTCAGAGCAAAAACGGACAAGTACAATTAACCTTGAGTTCGATAAATTAATCAAACTCAAGCTCAAATTAAGGGTGGCTCGAACTCAACTCGACTCGTTTACATCCATATCCACAACAATGCCGTGCTCGAAATAAAGCTTAGCACATTAGTCAGAAACAAAGTGAATAAATAATAAGATGCTGCCAAGTATGAGCGCCCACCCTACCAGAATAACAACAACAACAAACCCTTTATCCCACTAATTGGGGTCGGTTAAATGAATTTTTTTCTCCATTGTGTCCTACTGAGTGTCATATTTTTATTTAATTCTAATTAATCAAGATAATTTTTTATACAACATGCAAAAGTCTTTTTAGGCCTAGCTCTACCTTTCTCAACATAAGTCGAATATAAAAAATCTACTCCTATCTGGATCATCAGATGGTCGATGTTTAATGTGATCAAACCATCTAAGAAGAAATCTCTTTTCAATCTTGTCTGCCAGTGGAGCTACACAAACGCTTTCACAGATATATTTGTTTGATATTTTGTCTCTAAAAGTCAAGCTACTCATCCACCCAAGCATTCTCATCTCAACATTTAATTGAGTTTTATGCTTCTACATTATAGACTAACATTCTGTGCCATAAAGCATTAACCACTATCTTATAAATTTTTTCTTTAAGTCTAAGCGGTATTTTTCTATCACACAATAGGCCTGATGCATTCATTCACTTCAACCAACCAACTTTAATTCTACTAAAAAAACATTCCCATCTATATGACCATCACCTTGAACAATAGACCTGAGATATCTAAAAGTTTCACTCCTAATAATTTGATTACCCATTGTTACAACTGTGTCACTAGATCTACTACCACTAAAATTATAGTCAATGTATTCAGTTTTATATCTACTCAAATAAAAGCCTTTAGACACTAAGGTAGACCTCTATAATTCAAGTTTATCATGAATTCTTTCTCTAGTTTTATCAACAAGAGGAATATCGTCAGTGAAAAACATACACCAAGGTATATCCTCTTGTAATGTTCAGTAAGTGCATCCATAAACAAAACAATATGGGCATAAAGCCAATCCCTAATGTAATCTAACTGAAAGAGGAAATACTTTGTCATACCTACTTCTATTTGAACACAAGTAATATTTCTAGTACACATATCTTTAATGACTTAAAATATAAGTCATATCAACACTTTTTTTTTCTACTACTCTCCAAAGAACTTCTCTTGGAACCTTATAGTAATCTTTTTCTAAATTAATAAAATCATATATAGATCCTCCCTACTCTCTCTGTACTTCTCCATCAATCCTCTCAATAAATGTATAGCTTTCATAGTAGAATTGCCCAACATAAATCCAAACTGATCATGAGAAATCTTTGTATCACGTCTTAATTTATGTTCAACCACTCTCTCCCATAATTTTAATGTATGACTTGATTCTTGTAAAATATGTGAATGGTTGCAGCCTTTGAAGTTTCCTAGAGGATATGCATCGAACTTGACCGGTACATTGACTTGGAAGCAGAGAAGATATTCCATATGAAGAGTCACGTCTGTTGTATTTTTTTTTTGTAGTGCTTGATACCAATGGCTTGTAGTGTTTTACCAGCTCCGATACTCAGTCCATTAATCAAAATCAATGCATTCTTCAAGGGTTTATGTACGGGAAATTTGAAAGCTGATGCATTGAAAAATCTTACCCTATAAGAGGTATGTCTTCTCGATATCTAATTATTTAACTTTAAAAAATTCATTACCATAACTTACTAAATAACGAACGATGGTGAATATTTTTGAAAAAATTAAAAGACCATAAAAAATAAAAGCCCCATTATTTTGTATTTGATTATTTCAAAAAGATTACCACCTATCACTTTCGTTATCTAAACGTCTGGGCTAGCCATGATGACTTTTTGCGAGTCACTGGTACTAATTGGAGATGTGAGGAGGTCGGCAATGCATGGTTTGCTCTTTGGAAGCTGCATGAAAAGGTGGCTTCTGCTCTAAGATCTTGGATCTGGGATGTTTTTGGTGATGTTCATGCTAGAGTTAATAGGGCTGAGCAGAGGGTCAGTCTCCTACAGACTCTTGATGAATCTTTTGATGATATTATCCATGACTTACAGGAGGCTAATAAAGAATTACTGGAGGTCTCCCTTTGGGAGGAGGAATTGTTGCAAAAAAAAGCTGGGGAATACCACTTCTCTCAAGGTGATGAAAACACCAAATACTTCCATGCTTGCATTAAACAAAGACGAGCCAATAACACTATTGTGAGGATTAAAAATGATGAGGGGAGCTGGATTACTGGGGACGAGGAGATTGGGGAAAGCACTGTTCTTTATTTCTCTAAACTTTTTGAGTTTCATGAGACATCGGGCTCTATTGATGCTTCCTTATTTGATGATGTACGTCATCGCATGGTGGATCTCGATCTCTGTGGTATTCCCTCGGATGAGGATATTTATTCTACCCTTCTGGACATTAATTGCAACAAAACCCCTGGGCCTGATGGTTTCACCCCTGCTTTCTATATTAAATATTGGAGTATTATTAAGGATAAGGTGGTGGAAGCTATACAGAGTTTCTTTAAGGGGGAGATCCCTGGAAATTATTTCTCTGCCGCTACTATCGTTCTTGTTCCCAAAAACACTCAAAAAAGATCTTAGGACCATTTTAGACATATTTCTCTGACATATGTCATATCTAAGATGATTATTAAAATTTTGGTCAGGCGTATTCTACCTCATCTCCACAAATTAATTTCCTTGAATCAATCTGCCTTTATTCGAGGACGAGGGATCACGGATAATATTATGCTTGCGCAGGAACTCATCTTGGATATTGATAGAAAAAGTAGAGGGGGAAATATGATCACTAAATTGGATATTCGCAAGGCTTATGATTATGTTAGTTGGGAGTTTGTCTTGAAGGTGCTTAAATCTAGGGCCTTTTCCCAGGATTTTTGCAAAATTATTCTCTCATGGCTCAATTGCAATAAATATAACATACTCATCAATGGTCAATCTCAGAGCTTTTTTAGTGCGGGGCGTGGGATAAATTAAGCAAAGTGACTCTTTATCCCCTACTATTTTCATTTTAATATTTGATTATCTTTCTCGCCTTTTGATTATCATTTTAATATTTGATTATCTTTCTCGCCTTTTAAATAACCTTTTCAGGAGAAACCCCATTTTGCAATACGCTCATAAATCCAATACGTTGGTAACACATTTAACTTACACCGATGATATGATATTGTTCTCTAATGTTATCAAAAAACGGTGAGAGATATTCACAGTTTAATGGTGAACTTCCAATCTGTCTCTGATCTTTTTTTCAATGTCAATAAATGCAACTTATACATGGGAAATACGGTCAATTATCCTCATGCGTGCTAGATTGTCAATTTTACTCGATTCTCTAGTTCTACCCTTCCACTTAAATATCTGGGGGTCTTCTTACTTAAGGGAAGGAAGAGGCGAGTTCAGTTTGATGAGGTGGTGGAAAAGGTGCGGAAGAAAATCTTGGATTTAAAAAATAATTTCCTTTCATTTGGGGGTAAAATTATGTTGCTCAGGAGTATCTTACATTCTCTTCCTCTTCA